TGTCCTCGGGCTGGGTCGTCACTGCCGTCGTGTGAATCCTAGTTCCGGAGGTTCAGGGGCCTGTGCCATCATATTGCCATGGGGAGATGGAAGCAGCCCGATTCCTATTAGAGCATCTAGACATTGAGAGCTTTCTCCTCACCTCAGATCCGTGATTGGAGATCCGATGGTCGTCAGCCAGGAGGAGAGCCTCCGGAGAGGTGCCTACCTGCTCGTCGCCACTCTTCGAGCTTGGGTTACCGTCTTCCACGACGAAGAGGATGGTCCTTGGAAGGTGCCGTTTTCACTGCTGCACAATTACGCCAAGTGCCTTCAGGAGAGGCAGTGCGTCCTTGAATCCTCCTCGCCGCTATCAACCCTTGGGATTTTCATGCGTGTTCTGATGCTGTTGGAGGTTGCAATCACCATACTCGCGGTCGCCGTGTACTATCGATTCCACTCGTGTACTGTTTGGTAGCACGCGCAAATATAGAACGCAAGCAGGGCTTAGCAACGGAAAAGTCATTCTGTGCACGTTCTAAAAGAAAAGAAAAGAAGAATAGAAACTCGACTGATCCCCGCCAGAGGATCTAATAATAAACATAAGTAGCCTTGGCGATACAACCGAAGTCATGAATAATAAAAAGAAAAGAGATGTGCGCGCCGGAGGACATATTTAAAAAGAAGATTTGCAGCTGTATTGGTAAGTAAATATACGTATAGATGTAAATGTAAGTAAATATAAGTAAAAATTAATGTGAAATAAATAGTAATAAACAAAAAAATTGAAAATAAATAAAGGTACACATAATCAGAGACAGGAAGCTGTAGCGAATGAAATAAAAATAAAAAATTAAAATGAAAGTCGTGTCGGCGAGGGTGAAGCATTCGCATCGAGGAAGAAAGCTATTGTATATCATGTCCAGTATATCTTCAAGTGCTATTGGAAATGAAGTGTACAGAATTATATTAACAGTTAGAGGATAGTACTAAAAGGATTAGTACTAAGACTGGATATAGTAAAATCAAAAAAATGATGAGAGGGGGAAATGCTCCAGACTTCGCCGAAACCAAGGCTCGTACGTCGACTCTGGTTATGATTAGGGATTGGAGGATGACTACGCTCTCATGGCCTCCGAGTCTACGTTTAAATTGTTCGCATTAATCGTGGGCTGATTTTCATGAACGCGTTTTCAAGCATGCATTTGCGTGATTGCTGAGGACGCCTCATCCTGCGCTGTTGACTTCATCACGCGGTACTGCCGGATGCACGAGATGTGCTCTACGTGCACGTCCCAGGACCACGCGATGGTCTCCGAGAACATGCATCGACTCATCAGAGTTGCAGCAAAGAGGTGAGAGTGTTGTTGTGAGAGTGTCAGGCGCCCACGGCAAAGCCGTCAACGTGAGCGATGTACCCCTGTCTTCTCAATGTCTCTGCAAACGGCTGATATATGTGGATCTTCTCGATCCCTGCATTTTCAAGCGAATCGAACTTATACTCGAAAAACACGGTGACATCGATCACGACGATGGTCCTGGACGGCCCGGGTATCACAATATCAGGACGCAATGCCCGCAGTTCTTCGGCGACACACGGGACACACGTGTTAATTCACGATTCCTCGGGTAGCCTGGAGGCCGCTTCAAGCCTCTCGAAAAAGGCGTAACTGCCGCTTGGGGGCCGCAGAGACAGAGCATGTGGGGCAACATCTCCAATTGGTATCTGCACCGCAGGCATCTCTGGTTACCTTCGCCCCATCGAGGCACTCCATTTATGGGGAGCACATCGAAGTGTGCGAGATGCACAAAGCGCCAATCGGCGAAACGGAGGTACTGACCTGTCAGTATGAAGCGATTGCTCTTCCCATGACGGGAGGTCGCATCGAATTCTTTGTCCTGTTCCAGGTTCGCGATAAGCGCGGACATGTAGTGCTCCGAAGCAGCGGCCTTCATTCGGCCTATGATTTGCCGCTTGGCGTTCGGAGTAATGATCAGAACACCGCCTGCTGGGTACTCCGGCGAGAGCATACATCGAGCAGGGTACCAGCGCCAACAGAAGCCGAATCGCCTCAAAGCTGCCGATCTAAATCGCGATCAAAACAACGTGCGATTGGTGGACAACGACAGTTTCCCCTCTAGCGAGACCAAAAGGTGCCAGGCGATGTCCCCTTCGTTAGGCGTACACCGCATTTTCAAGCGGACGGCGTTTTCCAACGTCGACCTCACAAAGCCTGCAACTGCAGGGTCGTCTGCGTTCAGAATTTTGAAAGCATGGGCTACGCCGGCAACGTCCGAAGTGTCCGCCAACAGAGAGAGCCCGCATCCCCCAGGAGGGAGTAATGAAGACATTTCTGCGCTGGCATGTTGGGCGAAGTTCAACCATCCCCTGACCAGACGCTTTAGGATTTGGACAGGCTCCGCAAATGGCGATTCCCAGACGGCTCCAGCCCTCAGCAAGATGTCAATGTGCTGCAACAATAACGTCTTGATCTTCTTCCAGGGGGAGAGCAATGACGCGCTAACATCCTACAGGTCGACGAGCAGGTTTCAGATGGCGCGGTACTAATTCTGGTCGATGTTGCTGCAGCTGTCGCTGTCGCCGCTGTTGCTGCTGCTACTGCAGTTGTTATCCATGTTTCTGTTGTTGTTACTATCGTGATTGGTATTCTACCATCGGGCGTCGATTCTGGACAAAAGACCAGACGTAGAACTCATCCCTTTCGGGATTGAGTTTGCAGGGCTCATCCTGGTTAGGTTGCGTGAAGTCGAGGAAGTTGCGCATCTGGGATGCAGGGCCCTCCGAGATGGGCTGGATGGATATCACGGATTGTAGTACCAAGAATGGAAATCGGTAGTGCGACATTGGGCGACGATGTGCCTCAGAAAATGGCGTCTGTAGGCTGGAAGGACATCGTCAAAAGTACCAGTCAGTAAATGGAACTTTCCTGGTGCTAGGGGTACATATCATCCCGTTGCCGACGCATTGGACGCGGTCGTCGAAGTCGGTGAAGCCACCCACACTGGAATCGGCGCCACTTGTGCATAGGTTTAAGTTTAAGGAAGCTTCATCCCAGATCAGACTCTAAAACGGTTTACGGGAAGAAACACCCACGGGGTGAAACCCCGGTGGGTTCCTGCGATGCTCTATCGCTGATTGTGCCTTCATTACAGCACGAAATACTCAGCTCAAGTTGAAGGTTAGCGGGTCACGACGCTGCTGGCCTGAGAAACATCCGCCTCACACACGTAGGTAAGTGCAGTCTTCTTGGCAGTTGCCGTTCACCTCGACGTTAACGTCTTCGCCGCCGCTACCGTGATCCACGAAAGCGAGGGAATGCACCTGACAGATGTGTCACTCTCTGCTGCTGCCGTGGTCGCTATACATTCTAGTCGATGTGATCCGAATATCGCGACAGCGCGGGAGTTTGGATGCTGCGGCATGATGCGCTCGTCACTACTGCTGTCCGGCGACCATCGAAGTCGTCGTCTTCGTTGTTGTTGACGTCAAACAGCCCCAAAGGATCAAATGGACGGGTGCGACATAGTAGTGC